GAGGCAGGAAAGGGGCCAGCCAGTGGCACCGTCAATGACATGAGGCAAGCTCACTCTTGCCAAGATGTTTACCCACTTGTGCTGTTCTTTTATCCAGATGATTTCTGGCCATGCTTTGAATACTTACGACAATCCTGGGGGCCCCTCACTCTTCTCTTTGGAGGAGGCCTCACAGTCCACAGCTGTGCCCACTGAGGGTACCCTGGTGGCCTGAGGCCCTAGAGCAGACAGTGAGAGAGAGTACCCAAAGGCAGTGGGTTCTGATAAGGACCAAGGTTGAGACCAGGGGCACCTCACCTTCTTTGTTCTGGAATTGCCCTGGTCTCCTTTTCTTGCCAGCAAACCACTTTAGTTCCTACTTCCTCCTCTCTTTGACCCTGTGCCCAAGCTTCTCAGCATGCGAGCTTCTCCTCTAAGCACTGTCCACGTGTGCCCAGAACCTTGAGCAGTGGAGCTCGGAGCAGGGTCGACTGAGTAAGCAGACATGAGTCAGGCGGAACTCCACCTAATGACTAAGGATCAACGTCCCGCCCAAAGTTCCCCTGTCTAGCCCTTCAGAAAGGACAGGAAACCATAATCCAAAGCAAAACAGCCCACTCCCTAGGAATGACGGCCTGCAGTCCTAAGTTCTAGGGACCTCAAACAAGTCTTTCCCCTGCGGGTGCCAGGTCACCATCTCTAAAGTGATACAGTTGGATTAGTTAATCCCCAAGATGCTTTCCAGCTCTAACACTGCAACTGTGCACGGTAATTGCAGCTTCGAAGTACAATGTGGGGTAGTAATGGTAGCAGTGATGAAATCTATGGTAACCTACCCCAAGTGAATCACCAGAATTGCAAGTGGTAATTGTTACTATTAATATAATAATGTCTTAAATTGCAGAGTGCTTTTCCATTTACAAAGCATTTTTATACACATTATCTTGTGTGATCCTCATAAGAACCCAGTGAGAATAGTAGGAAAAATGTTATTTCTTTTGCATAGATGAGGAAACAAAAGTTCAATGGCCATTCAATTAGGAGTGACGGTGCTCAGCCCTGAGCTTAAGACTCAGTGCTTCATCTTCTTTCTGCTGCTTGATGACGTCTTTGCTGCTCCAACAACCCGTGCAACCATCTGTGAATTTGTCTCAGGATTTTGACCAGGTTAGTTCAAGGCATCTGCATGATAAGGAATCCCAGGCATTCCCCTGGAGGGGAGGGGAAAGCATCCAAAGTATACCCAGAGCTGCCTTGGCTCAGTCCATCCACTGGGCTCCTAGGAGCACAGTCCTCACCGAGAAGGGAGGCAGCAGCATTCCCCATTCATCTCCCTGCAGCTCAAAATAGAACAGATGAGATATCACAGCTGATCTCACTGCAGCATCAGATGTTTTAAAATAATTAAATAAAGAGAAATGACAGTGTGAAGAAAAAAGCCCCAATTTGTCAACGTTAGTGTCCCATGCCAGTGATAGAACAGGACAATGGTCAAAGTCAAGGTGAGGGGGCAGCTCCCCCAGAGATGCCAGGTTTACAGCCATTCTGTCCCCGCCATCCAAGTCTTCCTACCAGTAGCAATACTGTCATCCCTCACCATTCAGCTGCAATTTACAAAAGGCAAGAGACAACTTCCTCTCTTGCCGCACTCCAAGATAGAAGAAGCACTCCAGCCAGCCACCAATTTCCCCTCACTAAGCAGCCCTGTTCTCCCATACCCACTACATGCAGAGGGTAACCCAGGCACACCCAGGGTGGGTGCTCTTGTGCCCTGTCGGATGGGGCTGGACAGCATAAGAGCTCTTTGCTCAAGCCCCATCTCCGTACACTTTGTGTCCGTACCTAACTGCCTCCCCTTGCCTACAACGCTTATCTCCTTAGATCTCAGTCTCCATGGTTCTGAGCTGGGAGTTGGAAGCACTCATCTTACTTCCTCATAGTGTTGTCAGTGCTCTGAGGATGGAGTGAGACCATACTTGAGAAGACACTTCAAAAACTGGCAGGTCCTACAGGGCACTAAGAGACCATGGCTAACCAAGCACCTGCTCAGGACTGATGACAATGACACATGGCTGGCCTTTCCCAGCCTCCCTCTGGTTGGAAGGACTGGAAGACCAAGTTCTGGCCAGCAGAATGTGGGCAGAGTATCTAGCCTATAAAGCCTTCCCAAACACGGTCCTCTTCTCTCTTTTTCTCCTCTGTCAGCTAAAGACCCAGAGGAGGACTCTGGGGACCGAGAAAGGGCAGAGCTACAGACACACCCTTCGATTGCGTTACGCAGCTGGAGTTGGGGGTTGTCTGTTACAGCAGCTAGGCCACCTGGACTAGCAAAATGTCCCAGTGGAGCAGCTGCCTAGCAAATCCCACAATGAGGTCGTAAATACAAGTGAATGGATAAAAAGGTTTTAGTGGCCAGGCACAGTGGCTCACGCCTGTAATCCCAGCACTTTGGGAGGCCAAGGTGGGCGAATCACCTGAGGTCAGGAGTTCGAGACCAGCCTGGCCAACATAGTGAGACCCCCATCTCTACTACAAATGCAAAAATTAGCCGGGCATGGTGATGGGCATCTGTAGTCCCAGCTACTTACAAGGCCGAGGCAGGAGAATCACTTGAACCTGGGAGGCAGAGGTTGCAGTGAGCCGAGATCATGCCACTGAACTGAGCCTGGGCAACAGAGCAAGACTCTATCTCAAAAAAAAAAAAAAAGTTTTGGTAGCATGCAACCAAGTTTCCTAATAACTTCTCTACCCAGTAGTAGGATAAAAATAAGACCATATAAAACATGTACCCCAGCAGACGGATTCCGGGGCCCCACAGTTCTGTAACGTCTGTGTTCACCCTATTTGAGGAACAGTCAGGACAGCACACACCGAAGTGCACCCATCTAGTGTTTTGCTGAGCTGCACTTCCTTTTCTCAAACACCTATTAATAGATTTTCACTCCTGACAATAAAGAGGTGTGGATCAACCTCTAACTAGCCAGACAAGTTAGTTTATCCAATCACAGTATCAAATGCCCCCCTAATGTGGACAGGCCACACTGGAAGGGGCCACATCAGAGGCTAATAAGCCACCAGAAAAAAGTAGGGGACAAAGGACCCGAAAGACAATTCACAAACACAAAACAAATAGCTCCTGAACATGTAACGTTCACCCTTACTCATACAAAATAAATTACGTCTCACCCATTAGGCTGGCAAAAATAAAAAACAGTGGCAACACTTCGAATTGCAGATGAAGTGGGGAAAAGGCACTCACTCGTACTATCTGTCGACAGGGACACTGGTTCCTCTCTGGAGATCAATTTCATAATGTCTATTAACTTGTAAAAGGCAAGTCCTTTTTTTTTTTGAGACGGAGTCTCGCTCTGTTGCCAGGCTGGAGTGCAATGGCATGATCTTGGCTCACTGCAACCTCTGCCTCCCGGGTTCAAGCGATTCTCCTGCCTCAGCCTCCCAAGTAGCTGGGATTACAGGCACCCACCACCACACCCAGCTAATTTTTGTATTTTTAGTAGAGACAAGGTTTCACCATCTTGGCCAAAATGGTCTCTATCTCTTGACCTCATGATCCGCCTGCCTCAGCCTGTCAAAAGTGCTGGGATTACAGGTGTGAGCCACCGCACCTGGCCACAAGTCCCTTTTAATTCAGCAATTCTACTTCTATAAATCTACCCAACAGAAATCCTCATACATGCACAGAAAGACTCATACGCAAGATTATTCATTGTTTCAAGTGCAACAGATGGGATGTGGCCTAAATGTCCAACAGTACAAATCACAGAAATATATTTGGCTACTAGATGAAATGCCTACTTTAAAGTTTAGAAGATCCTGCTCCATAACATCCCAGAGGTCAGGGGGTGGGGGAACTGGCAAGCAAGTGCATACCCACCAAGGTTGTACCAGCATTTACATGAGCACAAGAAGGGATGCCATGGGGAAGCATTATCCTTTAGATGCTACAGGAGCACAATTCAATGTTCGACAAGGTGTGAATCTGTATCCATGTGGTTCCTTGGTGGTGCGCTTATTTTAAACATATGGAAAATTAGCCATAATGCAAATAACACAACAACAGCTGTGTTTTCATCTTCTTGGCTATTTTGACGTCACAACCATCAAAAACGAGCTCCAGAAAAGAGCAAACGATATTGTTCCCAGCAGCACATGCCAAAAGGCCACACACCTTCCCACGGGATGAAGGATTCCAGGGACATCTCTTTTCGTAGGTGTGACTTCCCCCTCTTTGCAGAGTAGCTATTTAGCAACTAGGGGGCAAAGCCAGGCAGCTGAGACTTAGGAACAGAATTATATCAGAGAAATCGGCAACAACCTTTCTGGAGAGAAATCTAACAGTGTCTATTAAAATCATATATAGACACACACCATTTGACCTAGGAATCCCATGCTCTCAACACCAGCATGAAAGGCACCATATAGGAGACGTAGTGGACAAAGAAACAGTACCCTGCAACAACCTGAAAGTCCATCAAAAGAGAATAATTAAATAAATTATGATACGACTACACTGTGAATATTCTATCATTATATTTTAACATGAGATCTATATCTACAGACAGAAGAGATGTTCAGAATGAAAAGCGCAGTTAGCAACAATGTATTATATATTTCAAAGTAGCTAGAAGAGAGAGTTTGAGATGTTCCCAACACATAGAAATGATAAATGCTCAAGGTGATGGATACCCCAAATTCCCTGATCATTATACATTCCACACATGTAATAAATATCACACGTACCCCATCAATAGGTAAAATATTATATATCAATAAATAAATTGAAATTTAAAAACAAGAAAAGCAAGTGGCAGGGACAAGTATAGAATAAGATTTCATTTTCATTAAACAACCGAAAAGCTTATACAAGGCCTACAAGTCCCTACCCAATCTGCCCTCCTCCAATTCCTTCCCCTCCTTCTGTGACTTCATTTCCTGACTTTCTTCCTGTCACACAGTCTGCTCTGTCCCATTGACAGGACACGTTTCCAGGCACATCCTGCCCCAGGGCCTTTGCACTTACCCTCAGCCTCAGTGCTCCTTCCCCAGAGAGCTGCATGGCTTTCTCCCACGGTCCTTTTGGTCTCCGTGCAAAACTCACCTTCTCAGTGAATTCTACCATCCTTTAAAATTTCGAAACAGGGATGGAGGGGCTTTTTCCTGTTTTATTTTTCTCCATAGCACTTACCATCGACTGCATTCACTTCACTGTAAGATGTGTTTGTTTTGTTTTATTTTCGTTTTTATTGAGACTGAGACTCGTTCTGTCGCCCAAGCGGGAGTGCAGCGGCATGATCTCAGCTCACTGCAACCTCCACCTCCTGGTTTCAAGCGATTCTCCTGCCTCAGCCTCCTGAGTAGCTGGATTACAGGCGTGTGCCACCATGCCCGGCTAATTTTTGTATTTTTAGTGGAGATGGGTTTCACCATGTTGGCCAAGATGTTCTCGAACTCATGACTTCAAGTGATCTGCCCACCTTGGCCTCCCAAAGTGTTGGGATTACAGGTGTGAGCCACCACATCCAGCCCACTGTAAAATATTTTAATCCCCTGGACCATCGGCTCCCAGAGGACAAGGGTTTTTGTCTGTCTTGTTCCCTGTGGCATCCCCAGCACCTAGCTCACAGTAATCATCCAGCAAATTCTTGCTGAATGAATGGAAAACCTGTTTGCACATCTTGACCCGAGCCTGGGGAAATAAGAAGAAGGGTCTACCCTAGACTTTCAGCACTGGCCGGAGATGCTGCAGGAGAGGAATGTGTGGCATCTGAGAGCCATCAAAGAGGAAATAAGAAATACTTTCTTTTTTTCCATATTATGATTCCACCAGTTGCTGTGAACATATGCTATTTTTGTAACTTTTGAAGAGGCATTAAATAAAATAAAAAAGCAAATATGTAAGCCAGACTCAGGGGAGCAGTGTGGAGGGGAGGGAAGACAACGCGAAGAGAGAGGGGCCCAGGCCACGCCCAGCAACTGCCTGGCTCTCTCCTCCCTCAGAAGAACCCAGCCCTGCCCAGCATCCAGTGCAGCAAGCGTTCTGGGAAGGTCAGGCTGTGGCTAATGAAAGACACCATAGGGTAGATGCTAACCCAAATCCCAACGCTCCCAGGCTCTCCCTCCCACCCCGCTCGGCTGGTACTGGAGGCAGACAATAAAGAACTGGCAAAACAAGACAAACGGTGGAGATGGTAAGGTCTGAAGAAGGTGAGGTGGGTAGAAAGCAGCAAAAAAGAAGGAGGGTTGGTCCAGGGGGCCAGGCCCCAGCTCAGCCTCCTAATCACTGAATCACCTTAGGCAGGGGTGTTCTGACCTGTGAGCCTCAGGTTCTTTCTCCCTGAAAGACAAAATAAAGGTATCTGCCCCATTGGGCTGGACATATGCGATACTGCTTGATCACGCTGTACAAACATCATTTGGAAGAGAATCCACGGCATGGATGCCTCACTGGATAATGCAAAACCCGCCCCACACGGAGCCTTGGTTTCCTCTATTGTATTTTCCAATTACTTGCTGTTGGTCTATCAAAAAGCCGTGCATTTTAATATCTGACCTTTGGCCGCCTGGCTCAACTCTATTGCTTCTAATAATTTATAGATTCGGAGTCTAGGATTTCCTCCAGCCAGATCATCACCACATCAGAAAATAATGATGCCTTCATCACTTCCTTTCCAAGACTTATGTCTCTATTGGTTTTCTCTTGTGATATTGCAATGGCTTTGACCTACTGTGCAAGGTTGAATAAGAGAGATGATAGCGGGCGTTCTTGTCTTCTTCACCTGAAGAGACCACATCTCATGTCTTTTTATCAGGAATAAGGTTTGCTAGAGATTTTAGTAGCTGTCATCAGATTAAGTAAGTTCCCACTGCACAGGGTTGGTGATGTGTGATCATGAATCATATTGAATGTCGTTTCAGCAATTAGAGAGATCATTACATGATTGTTCTCCTTTGTTATAATAGAGGTCTGTAAAACACAGGGATGCTTCTAACCCAAAACTCCCTCTCAGGGTCAGGAGGAACAAGGCCTGAGACCCTGAAGATAAGGACACCACTCCCACCTCAGTCGCCAGCCTGAGTCCCTGATGGTCCGTCCTCCTGAGTGCCACCCCTCCTCTCCTCAACTCCGCAGCTCTCTGGGCCAGTCTCCTTCACCTGCATCTCGAACTCTCACTAGTCCCTAAAATGCCACAGAGTTTCTCCTGTATGAAGTCACAAGAAAAAGCTCATTGCCCATCATCTCTATGTCATGAGAAGTCACCCTGAGTGTGCACTATGGGAAACAGGCTGATCGTACCATTTTCTCGGATGAGGCAATTCAGGATTTTGATGCAAAGACTTCACATCCACCTTGGTGTATTCTAAGATTCACATGAAGCTATTCCAAAATGGAATAGGATACCTGGGAGGCAGTGAGCTCCCCACTACCAGAGATGGGAATGTCCCCACAACATTTGTTACAGAGGTATGTCTACAAAAGATGAAGAGTGATCCAGAGTCTCCTCATCTGTAAAATGAAGGTAATGAGATCCATCAAAAGGCGATGGAGGAGGAGGAGGTGGTAGCCTAGTGGGAAGAGCAGGAGGTGGGATGGACTGACATTCCAAGCATCTGACGCACACCCTCCTCACCTAGTCCTCACAGCAGCCCCTGTAGCTATCAGGACATAGAGAAACCGCTACAAAACACACTCACATGTGCACACACACACATGCGCACACACGCACATGCGCGCACACACACACACACCCTTTGTTCAAGGTCACATAGTCAGTAGGTGACAGCGCCCAGGCATGCACCGAGGGCCTCTGCTCCAGTCTTTAAGCCCACTCCACTCCACCACTGCGCCTCCCGGACTACAGGGCATGAAAGTGCTTGTCAAACTGCCTAACACAGTGACAGTCACATAATGGGCACTTAATGATTCTCCCCAGATTCAGATGGTCAGAGGTCCCTCCCGCTGAGCAAAGGCAATTTTCTCATGTGAGAAGCAAAGAAGAGAGTTCATCTTGGCCCTTCACCAGCAGGAAGGTCTGACTGCCTGGATTTTATGGTCAGCCCTTGCCACCTTTTCAAAATGTATTCAGAAACGTGATCTCATTTGAGCTTCACGTCTCTAAGAGCCAGGGTCTTGGCAGAGAAGGTCACTGGGGCTGACATGTGAAGGTTCTGCCTGAGGTTCCATGCTGAACCAGCACACTCACATCCAAGGACATCAGCCACCTTTACTGTCTCTACCCCAAAGCCTCATGAGTGAAAGGAAAAGATAATCTCTAAGATGTCAATGAAAATGCAGAGATACAATTGAACTTAATCTTCCAATCCAAATGTGTGCCATTGACTAGTATGTGATGCCCACTCTCTAAATGTTTGGTGAAGTGATGAAGCAGTCAGCATAAAATTCCACCAATCAAGCACAAGTAACACCATCGCCTTAGACTCGGACCATGTGATGACCTTTATACCCATGGATTACACATTGGCTCTCCTTTCATAATCTAGGCACCAAAATATCTACTGGCAGCTTATTCCCATCTGCCGCAGGACAAAGTAGCTCCTGCATCTGGTTCCAAGACAGGAGTCAGCAGAACACTGGAGGCCACAGTCCAATCCCAATGGTCTGTTTATTGTCTGAGGTCATCACCATGGTATCTCCCCTCCCCACGGGCCCTGGTAAGCACCAAGGCCACTTTATTTGTCAGTGACTCAACCAGAAACCACATGGACTTCAAAGCAACCTCCTGGTCCTCAAGGACACAGGGTAGCTAAGCAAGGGGTGTAGCAAATTATTTGGACCAAGAGCCAAAGCAGGTGGCACAGACTCTGCTAATGTTCAGGTCCAGGCAGTGCTGAGTTCTGAGCAAGGAATGTAGCAGGAGTCCAGCCCCCGCTCCCTTGATTCCAAGAAGAGCCATGCCACCTAAGAAACTCACCTTGCTCCTCATCAAAACTGCCCTGTTCTAAATGGCACTGAGAATGAGACCGTCGTTTATAGTTTTCACCATCCCAGCTGGTGGGAGGGGTCTCTTGAATGTATTCCCACTTGTGAGAGACACAAAACTCACCAATGCTTGACAGCAAAATCTGGGGGCAGACTTCCCAGGTCTCCCATCTCTGCCCTGGCACGGAAGCCTGGGTTGGGAGAGACGGGGATGCACTTGTGATGAAGCCAGCTCTTCAGGTTCTGAGCACTCTCATGTCTGTCACAGAAGAGGGTAGGGGTTCACTACTGTAGCATGACACGGGATCAGAGAGGCCACCTATTACATGAGTGCATTTAGGCAGAATGGCCCAAAAGGGCAAATCTGTACAGACAGACAGCAGTTTAGTAGTATATGGGGCTGGGGAAGAAGGGGGTGGGGAGTGACTGCTCATGTATATGGGGTTTGTTTCTTTTGGGGTGATGAATATGTTCTGGAATTAAATAATGGCAATGATTGCACAACTCTCTGTACATACTAAAAACCACTTCAAAGGAGTGAATTTTATAGCATGTGAGCGATACCTCAATGCTCAGTTTTTTTTAATTTGATGGTCGAGAAGAATATGGAGGTAGCACACTAGGAGGTGCTCCCCTGCCCCACAACCTGTCATTTGTCACCTGTGCACTGGGCACATATCAGTCCTACCCAGCAGTGGTCGCAATCCTACCGTGGGGGACCAGCACCCCACATGGGCATTGGTTCAGCCCTCCAGCAGCCCCTCCTGCCAGTCGAATGCCCTCATCCCTCCCATGGGTTCTAGGGTTCTGAGCAACCAAGGCAGGCATGGGAACATTCTCAGAACATGCCCAGGGGTCACCTCCAGGAATATACATTCATCTCGGAGAGGAGCTGAGTGCTTATTTGACAAGCACAATGTAACCATGCTGAGGATGGGGAAGGGTACGAAAGAAGAGAGGCAGCCCCTTTCCTTCTCAGGGAGGCCAGGGCTCGCAAGAATGGGGGCTGTAAGTTCAACAGCTGACACCATCATCTGTGTCCCTCTGACCTCTGTGCAAGGAAGAATACAGTCTGAGGCTGTAGGCATGACAGACTTCAGAGGGAAACAAATCAGGCATAAAAACTGCTAGAGGTTCCATTAGCAAGACAGAGCAAAAAATAGGATTCCCACATCCCCTTGGTGCCCTTAGGGCCCCTCATACCACTAAAAATAAAGCAACAGGCAATGGCAGTGTTCTCAGGACTCCCTGCAGAGTCAGGCTTGCTCGGCTTCCTGTGGTCCCCCCTCCCATCTCCACCCTCTCAGCCATGGATTTCTGCAGCACCCAGGGCCAGCAAGGAGCCCAGGACTAAATGAGACGCTTCCATGGATCATGAGGCTGGGATAGATTTCCCTCTGTTGTCCCACTTCCAAGGATGCGGTCTGGGGCTTGCAATCCAAACAGGGAGACAGGTTCTGTGTCCCTTCAGGAGAACAAGGTCTGAGACTTTGGATCATAAGCAGGGAAGGAGAGGGACTTCAGATCCAGTCCATGATTGGACACGCCACCCTCTACCCTCTGGCATCCTGGCAGGAGTCTAAGAGGAGGAGTTAGAAGAGGAAACAGCTGGGGCCATAAGTCAGGCGAACTCACACCCAACCACCTGCTCCATTATACAGCAGAAAACACCCCCCTCACTCCTTCCACAGCCCACACCCCACAACCCCACCCCCAGGGCTACCCAGTACTAGCTCTTGACAGAGGACTGTAGTCTCTCAGATCAAGAACAGCCTCAGGAAGTCAATATGGCTCTCAGTGATTCTAAGTGCAGACACCGGCATTGGGCTGCCTGGTTCAAATCCCACCTCAGCCACTTACTACACGTGGCCTTGGACAAGTTGCTTAACCTCAGTTCCCCCACCTGCAACATGAAATTAATGACATTTCCTACCTCCAGGACTAATGTGAATTGCTCACAACGGTGCCTGACACATACAGGTGTGTGATAAATGCCAGATATTACTGGGAACCCACTAACACTGTCTCACCGGGGAGCCACTAGCATCTAAGGCCAGCAGCCATCTCTTGATTCCCCAGGCTGCCCTGTGAATGGCAGGATGCCAACTCATCCCAGCCCCTGGGAAGTGAATGCTAGGAGTTGCTCCTCCAGTCTAGGTGACAATCCAATCAGTTCAGTGGTGGGAACAGGATTAAAACCAAGATTTGTCTGACCCTAAGTCCATGGCTTTCACTACCATTCTACACTAAACTATCACCTGCAAAACCCAGTGGGCACAAAAAGCCTCTTTTGTCCAGGACACTGTGGGACACAGAAACAGAAACTGAAAGAAAAGGAAAAAAGAAGTCTCTTAAGAAAAACAATCAGCAGGTATGATGTTTATTAGTTTTTAAAAGCTGTTTGCCAGGCACAGTGGCTCACTCCTATAATCCCGGTACTTTGGGAGGCTGAGGCGGGAGGATCACTTGAGGCCAGGAGTTCAAGACCAGTCTGGGCAACAGAATGAGACCTCATTTCTACCCCCTAAAACGATATATTTAATTAAAAAAAAAATTAGCCAGGCATGGTGGTGTGCACCTATATCCCTTGAACTCAGGAGGTGGAGGCTGCAGTGAGCTATGATTGCACCACTGCACTCCAGCCTGGACAAGAAGCAAAACCCCATCTCAAAAAAAAAAAAGAGAGAGAGAATTGCCTAATTCTTCTTCTCAGGTCCCTTGAGGAAACTTAATGTGATATCCCATAAACCAGGCTATCATTCCCTTCCTAAAGATTAGCAGACCTAAGTAGGCAACTAGAAAACCAACATATCCCTCCAAGGCCTCAGGATCACCTGCAAATGCAGGTCCTGGCCTTCCTGCCTGTGCCCTCCCCTACCACTTCCTTGTCCGGCAGCTCAGCCTGCCCACCATATGCCACTGCAGCCCATAAAGACTCTGGGACATCTCAAAGGCCTCAGGCCCCATCTTAGGTGTGGCTCCAAGAACACAAGGTCCCCTATAAAAGGCTGGGCACAAGGGAATAGCCATAAAACCTGCAGTCCTAACAGCAGACACCCAGTGGCCAGAGCAAAGCAGCCAGCTGCCGGCCTTTTCAGGAACCACGGAGGGACATCCCTCCCAAGGACCCCGCCCAGCCACAGCCCAGGGGGACATGGCTGCAAGGTCCTCAGAGGCTACCTGGCAAGAAGGCCCTGTGCTGGGTACTCGCTAGCTGCCAGGGACTGTCCTAGATGCTCTCCTTGAAGAGGGTCAAGTAGATAACGCAGGAAAGAGCTGGCACCATGCCTGTAGCTGGAAGGGCCTCTAAAAGAGATCCTTCTTCTTTCCTGAGCCTCAAAGCACCCAGCAAGTGGGACGTGATTCCCGTCTTTCAGACGTCAAAACTGAGGCTCTGAGGAGTTACACAACCAGGACGTGAGCTTCAAGCCAGGTTTGTCTATTCATCTCATGCTTTCTCACAGGCTCCTGGAGAGGTCAGGTGATGGGCTGTCGTTGCTCAAAGGGGCCTAGAGACCTCCCAGCCCTCTGCCGGGTACCCTCCCTACACAGGGCAGCCAGGCTTCCAAGGCAGCCTCCCTTCTCTACTGGGACAGTCGCCAGGAGTATCTCAGAGGGAGCAGGCCCTAAGCAGCCTCCCCACACTCCAGCCCGGCTGGGGGAGGTGGCAGGGCACCATCTCCTACTCCCTTTCTGGAAAGCTTTCCCACGTCCCAGGCCAGACTCTGCAGGCCCTTGGGCTGGCGGACACGTGGCAACAATAGAAACAGCTCACACTTGCTATTGCTTCCTAACTGCCACGTCCTTTACACGCACCTGCACAAACGCTCTACCACAGAGGCACCCATGTTATAGAAAACTGGGACTTAGGAGGACATGGAACTTGCTCAAGGTCACGCAGCTATCAACAGCCATGCTGGAACTGAACCCATAGTCTGCACCATGCCATGCTACCCTGCTTCCGCCTGAAAGCAAGTGGGTGCAGATAAGCTGCCACATCCATGACTGTGCCCACAGGCTGCCGTCTTCCCAGCCACGTGGCAGTGCTGTAGCCTGGACCAGGCTCTGCCATCCACCCTCGGTGCAGACCTCTGGCCTCCTAACCCCCCTGCCTCAGCCTCTCTCTAGGTAACACATAATACTGCTGAAAGGCCAGGCTGGCTCTAAGTATGGGGTCCCACTGCCTTCTTTCTTTCTTGTTATTTTTGAGACGGAGTCTTGCTCTGTTGCCCAGGCTGGAGTGTAATAACATAATCTCGGTTCACTGCAACCTCCACCTCCCAGGTTCAATTCTCCTGCCTCAGCTTCCCAAGCAGCTGGGATTACAAGGGCCCGCCCGCCACACCTGGGTAATTTTGTATTTTTGGTAGAGACAGGGTTTCTCCATGTTAGTCAGGCTGATCTCGAACTCCTGACCTCAGGTGATCTGCCCACCTCAGCCTCCCAAAGTGCTGGGGTTACAGGCATGAGCCGCCACAGCTGGCTATCCCACTCTGACTTGTAGGACTAAAAGGAGGGATGGGACAGTCATTGCTATACAAGCAGCTCCTCCAGAGAAATGCCCAGACCCGGAGCAGCAACCCCCAATGGCCCTCAAAAAGGCACTCTTGGCCAGGCACAGTGGCTCACACCTGTAAGCCCAGTGCTCTGGGGGACAACAGGAGAGGATCACTTGAGGATGGGAGTTCAAGATTACAAAATAAAAAAAATTAAGTCAGCCAGGTGTGGTGGCTCATGTCTGTAATCCCAGCACTTTGGGAGGCCAAGGTGGGCACATCACGAGGTCAAGAGTTCGAGACCATCCTGGCCAACATGGTGAAGCCCCATCTCTACTTAAAATACAAAAATTTGCTGGGCATAGTGGCACACGCCTGTAGTCCCAGCTACTCGGGAGGCTGAGGCAGGAGAATCGCTTGAATCCAGGAGGTGGGGGTTGCAGTGAGCTGAGATTGCACCACTGCACTCCACCCTGGTGACAGAGTGAGACTCCATCTCAAAAAAAAAAAAAAAAAAAGTAATGCACACCTGTAGTCCTAACTACTTGAGAGGCTGATATGGGAGGACCACTTGAGCCCAGGAGTTCAAGGCTGCAGTAAGTTATGATCATGCCACTGCACTCCAGCCTGAGCAACAGAGTGAGGCTGTCTCTTAAAGAAAAGAAAAAGGCACCACTTCCTGGAGTCCAGAAAGACATTTGCATCTGGCAGTGCTCTTCTTCCTAAGTCCTTTCGGAGGGTCCTTGAGCTGAGGGGAGCTGAGCACACAGTATCCCTCCATCACTGGTTGGTCTCTTCTGGGAACCTGGAGTCCTCCCTTCCTGCAGCAGGAAGAGCCACCAAGAGTTTATCACGTTCAGTCCTCTTAGTCACCTGATGCCCATGGACACCATACAAAGACTTCTGGGGAAGCTGACTACCCCAAGACCCTTCCAAGCCTTTCACTCTCTGCAGCCAGCCCTTGGCAGTGGCCTTGCTGAATTCTCCCTCACCATGACTCAGTTTGCCTCCAATAAGCCCTGGGGCCTCAAGTTCAGACTCACCCAACCAGACAGATCAGAAGTGAGCCTCTGCCCTAACATCTTTGGGCACACTTTTGTCGACTACTTACAAGGATTTATCAGATAGAAAGAGAAAAGGACAGAAGGAAGGCTCTCAGTATCAGAAAAGGGTCTGAGGAGAATGCTTTGAGACGAAAGAAATTATGTGGTATCACTTAGGAGCAAGAAAGGAAAGATGAGGGCAGGTGAAGAGGATAATGGACAGTGGAGCCTGGCCAGTGCCAGCCGAAGGAATGAACCAATCTTCCCTACCTCTGCTTGCAAGGCACTGCTTCCTGCTTAGCACGCCTCGCTGATTCCCATAAAAATGCTGTCCATCTACATGCTGAGGCGGGCTGAATCATGGCCCCAGAAGATGTCCATGTCCTCATCCCTGGAACCTGTGAACGTGACCTTAACTGGCACAAGGGACTCCACAGATGTAATTGAATTAAGGACCTTGAGATGAAGGGATTATCCTGGATCATCCAGGTGGGCCCTAAATGCAATCATAAAGGTCCTTACAAAGGGAGGCAGAGGGGGATTTGACATGGAAGAGGAAGTAAGAGACGTGATGATGGAAGCTGAGACTGGAGCAATGGGCTTTGAATATGGAGGAAGCAACCACAAGACTAGGGATGTAGTGGCTCCTGGAAGCTGCAAAAGGGAAGAAAAACGACTTGCCCCTCAGAGCCTCCAGAAGGAACCAGCCTGCAGACACTTTGACTTTAGCTCAGTAAAACTGAGTTCAGACTTCCTGCCTTCAGAACTATAGGATATATTTGTGTTATCTTAAGGCACTAAGTTTGTGGTTGTTACAGCAGCAAGGGAAACTGACACACACACTCAGCCCCTCGAGAGGTCCCTTCTTATGATGAACACTGCTAGCCAATAGGAGTTGAGCCATTCACAAAAGAGGCCCAGCCCTGCCTTCCTGTAACATATTGCCGTCCTTTTCCTCCATCTTCTCTCCTAGGCACCCTGTGGCCTGGACTATGCTGCTTTCCGCCTAAGTCCTCCCCATCCTTCCAGCTCTCCTACTCTCCATGAAGCTCTGTTCCAGCCTCAGAGTCTTCAAAGACACCCTCCATCTGCACATCCCCCTGTACCCACCCCTAGCTAATGCCTTTTCATCCTGCAGGTCTCATTTCTTCTCTTTTTTGGAAACAGGATCTCGCTCTGTTGCCCAGGCTGGAGTACAATGATATGATCTCAGCTCACTGCAACCACCACCTCCCAGGCTCAAGCAATCATCCCACCTCAGCCTCGAGACTAGCTGAGACAACAGGTATGTGCCACCATGCCTGGCTAATTTTTTGTATTTTTAGTGGAGATGGAGTTTCACCATGTTGCCCAGGCTGGTCTCGAACTCTTGGGCTCAAGCAATGCACTCAGCTTGACCTCTGAAAGTGCTGGGATTCCAGGCCTGAGTTACCATGCCTGCCTGGCCTGTAGGTCTCACTTCTGCAGGGAAGCCTTTCCCAAACCCCAGTCAAGGAGAGGAGGCACCCCACATACACATTATAGTCCATAGCCTCTCATCACACTCTAGACTGAAGTGTGCATATGCATGTGTAAGGGGATTATCTGTTTAATCCAGTCACTGATGATGGACCTCTGAGGGCAGGGACCTTGGCTGTCCTGTTCACCAGTGAATCCACTCTCAGCCTGTGGTAGACACTTGCATTGATCTCCTTCTGCCCAGAACTGCTTTATTTAACATCTTTATCAAAAAGAACCATTGCATAGACATTTTTCCAAGGAAGGCATACAAATGGCCAACAGATATATAAAAAGGTGCTCAACATCACTAAGCATCAGGATACACAATCAAAGCCACGATGAGTTATAAACTCACACCTGTTAAAGTAACTATTATCAAAAAGAGAGAGAGAGAGAAAACAAATGCTGGTGTGGGTATAAAGAAAAGGGAACCCTGTTACACTGTTGGTGGGAATGTAAATTGATACAGTCATTATAGAAAACAGTATGGAGGTTCCTCAAAAAAATCAAAAATAGAACTACCATATGATCCAACAATCTCACTACTGGGTATATATCCAAAGGAAATAAAATCAGTATGTCAAAGAGATGTCTGCATTCCAATGTTCACTGCAGCATTATTCACGATAGCCCAGAAATGGAATCTACCTAAGTGCCCATCAACAGATGACACATAAAGAAATTATGGTACATGTACACAATGGAACACTAGTCAGCCTTTTAAAAAGAAGGAAATCCTGCCGTTTGCAGCAAGATGGATGAACCTAGAGGACAGTATGTTAAGTGAAATGAGCCAGGGATAGGAAGACAAATACCACATGATCTCATTTATATGTGGACTCTTAAAAAGTTGGGCTCGTAGGAGCGGGGAGTAGAACAGTGGTTACCAGGGGCTGGGATGAAGGGGGATGTTGGTCAAAGAGTACAAACTTTCTGTTAGGGGGAATAAATTCAAGACATCTGTTATTGTACAACATGGTGACTACCATTAATAACAATGTATTATATTCTTGAAAATTGCTAAGAAAATAGATTTTAAGTGTTCTCATCACAAAAAATAAATATGTGAGATAATGCATACGATAATTAGCTCAATTTAGTCATTCCACAATGTATATCTATTTCAAAACAACATGTTGTATGCAATAAATAAGTATAATTTTTATTTATCAAGAGAAAATTTTAATAACGAGTGTTCATTTTAAAATATACAGCTGATTGGCACCCTCAGTCCTGTGGCAGTAACAAGAGGAAGTCAGGGCTCAAGTTTCAAAAACACAGACTGAAAATAAAGCCCCAAACAGACTCAAGGATGGAACTCCCCACAGCCTATCAGCAGTGGACAAAACCTTCCACAGCACAGGCTGCAAGTAAAAGGTGTCTGCCTGGGAGGAACCATTTAGAAAAAGCAGAAACAAGGCAGTGAAAACAGAAATAAGGCGGCCAGTTACCCGCCATCCCCAATTCACACGAAGGCCAGGTCACCCTGTTTCCACCCTGTACCAGCCGCTCCTCTGCCTGAGGCTTTCTGGCCCAAATCCTGTAAGGCCCCCTCTTTCATCTCAGTACTGTCTCTGCAAGATGACCACTTCCTCCTACAAAGAGCCTTCTCTGGCTACCCACCAAAGCAGCCCCTCTGACACACACAATCCCACCCCTTGTTCAGCGGTCTCATTGTGCCACTGTAAATTATCTCATTTGTCGATTTCCTGATGTGTTGATCATTTGCGCCCCCCACCCACTACATACTCAAGCCCAATCCAGCCCTTTCTATTGTAGTTTCCCAGGGCTTCAGATAGTCTCTGACACATAGGGGGTGCTGGAGAATGCAGAATGACCCTCACTGTGCGTATCCACACAGCACTGGGTACAGAGACAAAGGCATAGCTGTCCTCACTGAGCCGCAGCCTCTGGCTACCCTGAAAGGTAAGCAGGAAGCACATGGGTGGAGGCTCTCTCTCTCTCTCTCTCTCTCTCTCTCTCTCTCTCTCTCTCTCCCCTCTCTCTCTCTAGCACAGAATCTCTGGATTCTTCCAGAGATGGCCAGCAGTACTGTCTCTTTTCTGCTGAGAAAGATAGGAATGGAGAATCTTTGAAGTCAGACACTGTAGATCCCAGTCAGAGATCCACAAGGTTTGATCCCATTTGAGATCCATAAGCTTCTGAAGATACTGACAATAATCCCTGGCTTCAGCCAGCCCAGTCAGAACAACCCTCAGACCCTGTGCCGGGAATGCTAGTGCAAAGGTGCTTATTTCCTGACAAGGTTGAGCAGATCAGCATGTAGCCTCCAGAGCTGCAGCAGCCATGTGGGAAGCCAGAGGCAAACTAGCCTCACGACATTGCCAACTATAAGGAAAGCAGATTAGAGTGACAGAAAGAAACTGGGTCCATGGAGCCACTGGATCAAGACTCACCTGAAGTCATCCACCTTTCCAATTGTATGAGTCAATGGAGTCCCTTTAATGTTAAACCCACTGAAGTGAGCATTTCTGCTACAAGCAATCGAAAGCATTATCCCTGATTCAGCTATGTAAAGTCCTTCACACCCAGCCTGGCACATAGTGAGTCTTCCATTAAGCTTGAGTTATGATTTTTTCCCAAGTTTCTCTGCTGTTTCCCAAGGCCAGTGTTTACCCAGATGTCTAGAGACAGAAACTGTTCTACTGGCTTATAACTAGATCCAATCCCATGTCCCTGTAATGGCAAGGCACAGACAACTTTACCAAAGACCCTTGCTGTGTACAAAATCAGTGCACACACCAGGCATTCATGGGGTGAGGTACTGTGTACTCAGACAAGACTAGGTATGGACGGGACAGCATATCAGAGAAGGACAACGCACTGTGATCATAAGCCTGAAGAGGAGTTTATCACCTAATCAGCAAGACAAGATCAAGGTCCACAAACAGTGAAGTATATATTTCACTAGTGTCATGATTTAAGAAATTTAACAGTACAAGCTAAAGGAGTCCAGAGAAGAAAGAGCTGGAAATCCTAATGGCATTCTGGTTTATCTTGGCTCCCAATGCTCCCAACACATGGACCTATCCAGATCCAGAAACATTCCCCCAAGAACATATGGAGGTCACAGGATATCAGAGCCCAGCACCAGGCCTTGATCCTGCAAACTCCAAAGATAATGTGCACATTTCATGGACATGGCCGAAGACCCAGACACATTCTAGGTCATCGTCGCGAAACTGGCTGAACTAGTCGAGAAGGCTCGTCATCTTCTCCCAATTTATTTTCTTCTTCCCTCTTGTTCTCCCAATGCAGTAAAAATATGATGCATGAAACAATTATTCTTCAGAACTCAGGGGCAGGTGGGGAGCCTCAAATCCAGAGAAAGCAAAATGTAAATGATGCAAAAAGAGATCAAGATCCATGAATATTCATCCTCCTCTCCCTTCTGGTAGAAAGCAGATTTGGAGGGGTTCATTGAGCTCCATTTCCTCTGAATTCCTAGGAGCGCTGTGGTCGGCATCTCCTCATTCTGCCTGAACACAGCATGCAACCCAAAGCTCTTGCCTCCAAGAACAGGCGGCTGCACAGGTACATACATTGTAAAAATGCACCAACCTGTACATCCAACATCCGTGAATGCCCTATATGTATATGAGACTTCAATTTAAAAACATGAAAGTCAAAAGACTGGTCGGTTCCTTCCAGTCCTCAAGGCCTATTTCAAATGTGGGGGCACCTTCCTCTCTTCGCTTCACAGTGGAGAATGATTCTCTACCCTACCTCCTCCTCTCCCTGACACAGCTCCTTGGCCCAAAACAAAACAATGAAAATGAAGAATCCCCTCTAAGCCATTTGCTTACGGAAGACAAAGCTGGAGCTGACTCCTTTCTGGATTCTCTCCCCTTACTCCCCCAATCCCCACTCCCACCCCCACTGAGCACAGGCATGCAACAGATACCCAAAAACTGTTTATTTTGGAAATAAATTACAAATGGTATGGAACTACTTCACATGCAATAAGTCTGTAAGTTCCTGGATGTCAGGGCTTGTCTTCTACATCTTGGGATGCCTGTGTGACCCTCCCCCACCCCTCATCACCAGCTGATTTCTTAACCTCTAATGAGTCTCAGCTCCTTCAGGATCCTTCAGGATCACTATGAGAATTTTACCAGCTAAGATGCAAAGGGGCCAGCTCAGAATGTGATATATTGTAAGCTGTTAATAAATAGCAGCTCCCTGGCCCCAACCTTCCCCAACAACCTTCCTCCAGTTGC